ACCTTCAACAAATGATACTGATCAAATTATATGGCTGTATGTAGAAGAATACAAATCTATCAATACTTACCACCCTTCACAAAACCTAACTCCAAATGGATCAAAAACCTCAACATAAAACCAGATACACTGAATAAGATAGAAGAGAATGTGGGGAATACCTTTGAACTCATTGGCACAGGAAAAGACATTCTGAATAGAAAATCGATAGCACAGACACTAAGATCAACAACTAATAAATGGGACCTCATGAAACTGAAAAACTTATGTACAGGAAAGGTCACCATCATTAGGACAAAGTGGCTGCCAACAGAATGGGAAGAGATTTTTCTTCCCAATTACGCATTCTATAGAAACTCAAAAAACTAGATGTAGCTAGAGTTTTCCTGCCTGGCCCACAGTCAGGACAAATCTCTCTCACCCGCCAGTCCTGCAGCCGCTCAGACCTAACCAAGTAAACACAGAGACTTATATTGGTTACAAACTGTATAGCCGTGGCAGGTTTCTTGCTAACTGTTCTTACAGCTTAAATTAATCCATTTCTATAAATCTATACCTTGCCACGTGGCTCGTGGCTTACCGGCATCTTCACATGCTGTTTGTCATCATGGCGCCTGGCAGTGTCTCTGACTCAGCCTTCCACCACTTCCCAGCTTTATTCTCTTCTTTGTCCCGCCTATACTTCCTCCTGCCTGACTACTGGCCAATCAGTGTTTTATTTACCAACCAATCAGAGCAACACATTTGCCATACAGAACATCCCACAGCAACTAGATATCAAGGAAACAAATAACTCAATTAATAAATGGGGTACAGATCTAAACAGAGAATTCTCAGAAGAGGGAACTCAAATGCCTGAGAAACACTTAAAGGAATGTTCAATTCTTTGTCATCAGGAAAATGCAAATCAAAATTACTTTGATCTTTTGTCTTACACAAGTCAGAATAATAGTCAACAAATGGTCAACAAAACAAGTGACAAATCATGCTGGTAGGGATGTAGAGTAACCCTGCTAATAGTTAAAAACAAAAACACAAACAAACAAACAAAAAACCTTTTAAACCAGGCAGCAGTGGCGCACACCTTTAATCCTAGCACTTAGGAGGCAGAAACAGGCAGATCTCTGTGAGTTTGAGGCCAGCCTGGTCTACAGAGCAAGTTCCAGGACAGGCTCCAAAGCTACAGAGGAACTCTGTCTCAAAAAACCAAACATAAATAAATAAATATCTTTTTAAGTGATTCTCTAATGAATCTTAAAACAAAATCCAGAATCCTGAGTCATACATTGCTAGGTGATCTGACTTCTGCCTTTTCATCAATGCCTCCATTCTCTCTGTCATCTGGACTCATCACTGGTGCTTTACAGTAAGACTGCCCTGCTTAGGATGCTCTTAACTCACATACTATTACTGCACTTAATGCCTAATACAACAATATCTCCATGGTAATACACACACACACACACACACACACACACACACACACACACACACACACACACACATTCAGAATTCTCCTAATTCTTATTTATTCCTTAGGTCTTAAATGCTTCTTATAGAAAGTCTCCATCTACACTATTCTACACGTTCTCTAGCATAGCATCCACCATGCTGTCTTCCACCTTCTTTTTTTTTTTTTTTTTTTTTTTTGGTTTTTCGAGACAGGGTTTCTCTGTATAGCTTTGAGCCTTTCCTGGAACTCGCTTTGGAGACCAGGCTGGCCTCGAACTCACAGAGATCCTCCTGGCTCTGCCTCCCGAGTGCTGGGATTAAAGGCGTGCGCCACCACCGCCCGGCCCACCTTCTTTTTTGACACTACTGCAGAAGGTACAGTAGACCAGTTAAGAGGCCAAGACTGCTGTGTTTTTAAATTATTCAGTTATAGAGGCTTAATACTGCTCAAATGAGGTTTAGAGACCAGGAGTTTTTTAGAGACTAGGAATTATTTACTTCTTTAAATAAACTTTCTGATTTTTAACTTTCTGTTGGAATTGTCATAAATGAAAACTTCTTTCTATAATTTTGCCATGGATTTGGCCATTCTTTCAATATAGGTTAGCTTTTGCTGTGGCAACAAATGAAGACAAAATTTGCAATGATTTAAAAGTTAATTCTTGCTATAATATGTAACCATTAACAACTTTTAAAGTTTGTTACTTCCAGGACAAAGACTGATGGAACATCCTTTACAGGTGTATATGTGGTCAACATAACAAGAAGAGACACGACAAATCTAAAATGTTTATGTTATAAGAAACACATGTTCTTTTCATCCACAGTATATTTTAAAAAGTGAGATTATGTGGCCATTCTTGGGTTCAACAGGATGCAGAAACAGAATACCCATGTAGGAAATGACTCTTTGAGAACAGAAAGTGAACTTTTGGCAAACAGTAACATAACCTATTATGACTGAGATCAGCAGGATGCAAAACTTTGTTCTGCCCATTTGAACTTGCCCTTACTCTGAGTCAGAAGCTAAGCTTCTGTAGTCACAGAAACGAAGACAAGTCACAATTCTAGGGCAAAGAGAACTCAGAAAGCTTTCATTAGGAAGCCACTCACAGTTCACCAGGTCACTACACTGTCTTTTGTAAATAAGGAAACCAACTCAGAATCTACCTGACCTCCCCGCAAGGAAATCTAGCATGACATATGAGAGCCAAAGTCAGTCTCCCAAATCATTGGCCTCAGAATTCAAAATCTTTTCCTACTGCCTACCTCAAGTGAACCTCACTTAATTCTCATGAGTAGATGCAGCGTTTCCCACAGCATAGATGTGTTAGGTGCTGACACCTGACTTGCAGTGTTGCAAAGAGAACCTCTGCCCTTGATATACAATGGGACTTTCTGAAAGAATTCTCCATGTTCTGTTGAGATAGGCTGTAATGACTCTCAGTTTTTGCTTGTTTTGAAGCTTTGTATGGGCATAGCAAGAACATATATAATCAAAAATGTCTATGGGGCCTTGTTTCCTTCTGTATAAATGCATTGTGTATACTCTAGCAGTGGCTTGTCCTGGTGTTTTATCCAAATCAGTCCATTTAGGACTCTACTGAAATCTGTTCTCTTAGTTTTACCCAGACACAAGTATTGTCAAGAAATGTAAACTAAACTCTCATATTTTTTCTAACTGCAAACAACAACAAACCTCTCTAATGCACAGTAAATTCTGATCCCAAAACCTTTTATTCTAACCTGTTTCATATTCTCTACTGCTGTTATCACTTCATCATAAGTTTCTTTTCTACTCCCAAACTTGTCACTAAATTTGACTATATCATCTCATGACTGCTTTCATTTATTAATTGAGTAAATCTTGAAGGTGGCAGACAATTTAGTAGAACAGAGAGCAAGTGATCTCAATGACTAAAGGGTGGTTCACTTAGCATTCTGCACCCAGTTTTAAATGTAATCTTTTGAGAGTATCATGTACTTTAAATCCTTCAGATTTATATCAAATATACATACTTCAATGTTATCAAATCCCTTAGACTGGTTTCTTCCCTCTGCCCACTTGCTGACTCTAGCAAGAATTACAAGCAGTAGTTTGTATGGTTTACTTCTGAACAGATCCAAGACTAGGAATCTGATAAGTGAATTCAGCTTCTAATGATTTTTGGCTCTCTGTTCTATACCCACACCCACACGCGCATACATATAATACAGGTAAGTATTTCCTTGAGGGTTCTCTAACATAAATAAACTAAATGATGTCAAGCCAGACAGGGGAAATTCTTCAAAGAAAGCCAACTTGGCAAGCATACTCCAGACATGGGGGAGAATATTCAAACAAATAGACAGACCGTGTGTCTGAAAAGCTGTTTCTCTACAAAGCCAGGATTTGGAAAAGCTTGGAAATTTGGTTATTTGAACAGAAATATTCCTGGAAAGCATCATTGATTACTAGAAAAATGATTAGGCTAGGGTCAGGAATCCATAATCATGCCCTGTAAACTTTGAGAAATTAACACATCCAGATCTTAGTCTGACCAGTAGAACTTGGTATGATTTTAGTGTGACTATGAGATCAATGCTATGGCTCTTACTCTCTTTGTTTTCATATATATGTGTGTGTGTGATGTCATGCATATATGGACACGTGTATGTGGATAGATATGCATGTGTAAATACCAGGAATAATCCTTGATCTCTCTTCTATTTTATCCCATGAGACAGGGTCTCCCAATTAAACACAGAGTTTGCTGATATGGCTAGTCTTGCTCATTAGCTTACTCTGGGTATCCTCTGTCTCTGTCTTCTGAGGCTAGCATTACAAGTAGGCTAACCTACCTACCAGGCATCTATGGGATCTGAAGAGGGATCCAAACTCTTTTCCTCATGCTGGAACTGCAAAGCTTATCTGCCAAACCATCTCCCCAGCCCCTTTGCACTTTTTTCTACAGAAGGATTGGGTGTTCCCAAGTTTACTACTATACATCATGGTACTACATACAACACTGGTTACTTTTGTTGCTGTTGTTTTGTTTTCTGAGACAGGGTTTCTCTGTTTAGTTCTGGCTATGCTGGAACTCACTTTGTAGAGGCTAGCTCAAACTCAGAGAGATTCACTTGCCTCTGCCTCCTGAGTGCTGAGATTAAAGGTGTGTGCCACCATGCCTGGCTAACATTTGTTACCTTTAAATAGTTTCTCTTCCTCTAAAATCCCACACATTTACCAGATTTCTATAACTTTGCATCATCTTACGGCACACTCCTGGGTGACTGTGAAGTGCTGAGCAACAGGCTGTTTAGAAGCCTTGGTTGTTTTGAGCCATGACTACAGGGCTTTTCAGAACTAATCTACTTTGTGCAACAATCTCATATAAATAGACATTGCTTTTTATAGGAAACAGATGTATAAAAAGTAACTAAAGGTAATAACAGTCTGAGCAATTGCTCTTTTTCTTCCCAATAACACTATCTCCTAGAAGTACAAGAAAGGGTTAAGATGTAAGAACAGAGAATACTCAAGTTTAGTTCCAAAGATTTAGACATACCTTTGATATCTGCCAGATGGGCCTTTGAAGTGCAAAACAGGAACAGATCCCTAAGGGAAGGCTGACACACAAGTTCTGACCTGTGAATTAATCAGAGAAACCACTGGGTGTGAATAGACAGTGCTTTTGTAGGAGTGGTTGATGTAGGCTGCTTAACCATGGTGGTCTCCATGGAAAGAGAAAGCAATAATTCACTTGGGATCCAGGCAGACAAGTGTAGGGTTGATTACTCGGGACCATTCCTAAGTGCAGGTGAGAGGCAAGATACAAATCACTCACTATGGAAATTTATGGAGAGTTAATGTTTATGCTTTCCAAGACTTTCCACATCTTACTCTGGAACCTTATATGTCTTTGAAAACTTAAATCCTAGGTTTTAAGCTGCACAAAAGCAAACTTGGTTGACTTTTTAAACTATTGCATAGCCAGTACCTCAAATAGTGTTTGGCATTGCTTATAAGGGTTCAATAAATATGTGTTTTATAAGTTATTTATGTACTAAGGTTCACATAATCTGGACAGATTGGAAAAAATGAGTATTTTTATACTATTCTGTATATTTTACACAAACAGCTTACAAACTCAGGCATCAGAGCCCTTTGTTTTCATGCTTCTCAGGTACTTTATCATAAACTGAACTCTGAGATGAATTCCTTATCTGGTCATTGTGAAAGCATTAGAGATCTGAGAGATAAAGGATCTAGATTCAGACTAAGTTATTTACAAGACTGTGAAGATAAGAAAAAGGAGAGGGGTCTACCTAGACTCACCACTAGTGTCAGGAAATCATGGCCCTCATAAGAACCAACAGCCAAGGACTCAGAAAGGAATGTCCTCTCAGGAACCAGAGCCAAGAGGGAATATAGAGATGGTGGCTTGAAATAGAAGAACCAGAGACTTCATAAAAAAAATTCCTGGGTCTAGCCTTGGCATAATCAACAACAGTAACTATTTTGTAAGGTTTATTCATTCCAGATAATGATCATTGCAGCCAAGTCCTGATCACTTGAAGATTTGTAATCATCTCATATTGTTTAATGAGTCTTGGTAACCATTGAATATAATGACTAAGACTGAATTTTCATCTAGCCTCATAAGATGAGCCTATGTGTCCACTTTAGTTTCCTTGAAAGAAAGTGTGCTATTTCATTTTTCAAAATGTGTTTTAGAGTTCAATGTGAAATTTCAAATATGTAGAAAAAGTGAAGAGAGTATATTGAAAATAGAGTATATAAAATACTCATCATTCATCATCATCCTTACCCATCATCAATATAGCCCTCTTTGCTCCATTTCTAGTTTCTACTCTCTGCACTATGCTGATCATTTTTATTTAGCAGTTTATTAAGACATGAAATGTAAGTTCTCCAATTATAAGAAGATGTGTCTGTTTTGTTGGTATCCATGGGAGGCCTACCCTTTTCTGAATAGAAACAGAGGAGGAGTGGATGTGGGAGAGGCAGAGGGGAGGTGGGGTGAGGGATTGGGAGGAGAGGAGGGAGGGGAAACTGCAGCTGGATATAGAAATAGAGAGAGAGAGAGAGAGAGAGAGAGAGAGAGAGAGAGAGAGAGAGGGAGGGAGGGAGGGAGGGAGGAAGGAAGGACTAAGATAAAACATAAGTTGTGTCAATAGTTTCTAGAAAATGTGTAAGTTGTATAAATATCACAATAAAATTTTAAGACATTTTCATCACACCAAGCTGCCCTCTGTCCATTTGTAGTCAATCTCTATTCCTGTCTCCAAACATAGGCAACTACAGATCTGCCTTGTCTCTCTTCAGCTTGCCTCCCCTGAATATATCACATGTAGAGAATAATGCCCAATCACTTGTTTCAGGATTTCTTCACCTAGCATTAGGTTCTTGAGTTTCGGTCAGGTTGTAGCTGTATAAGTAGTTGAATCATTTCCATTGCTAAGTGTGTTCAGTTCTCTGACAGGTTGGCATTTTGTTTATACATTCGCTAGATGTTGGGTATTTAGATTGCTTGGGGATTTTCTGTTACGATAATGCTACAGACATCTATTGGTTAGTATTTTCATTTTTCTTGGGTAAGCACTTATATATGGAATTGTTATGTGCTATCCTGTGAAAGGATCCCCCCACAATTCAGTGGAAACTTAATTTCCATGCAATATTGAGAAGTGGAATAGTAAAAGGTAGAGATTAGATTTGGGGGGTCATTGCCCTTATTAATGAAGTGAGGTTGTGGTCAAAGGAAGGCGCATTTATGAAAGTGCAGTTTACCTCACTTTCTCTCTTCCATGCTCTCTTGCCATGTGTACCTCAGATTGAGGCCTTCAGTCTTCAACTTTCTAGCTCCTAGGACAATATGTCAAGTAACCTTTTGGTATGCATAATTTTCTCAGTCTGTGGTATTCTGTGTTAATAACAGATTAGGATACAGGGCCCATGGTAACCTATTAAGAAAGTAGAAACCTGTTTTCTAAATATAGTTGTAACATTTTGCATCTGTAATGTGTAAGAGTTCTAGTTTTCTACATCCTCCCTAAGCCCTAGTTTTGGTTTATTTTTTATTATTATAGTCATTCTGGTGCATATAAAGAAATAGTATGCTTTTAATTTGCATATACTTAATGAATAATGACATTGAACACTTGTTCTTATATTATTTGTCTTCTCTGGTGAGAAGACTAGTCAAGTTCCCTCCACCCCTACTGAGTTGTTTGCCTCCTTCCTATTGAAGCATCAGTGTTCTCTGCATATTTTGGACCCGAGTTTTTTATGAAATAATACTTTGTAATAGTGTGTAATACCTTGTAATAGTATTTTCTTAAGCTAGTCCCTTTATTTTCTTTTTATTTGTTTTTGTTTCTTGTTTTTTGCTTTTTCGAGACAGTGTTTCTCTATGTAGTTTTGGTTCCTGTCCTGGATCTTGCTCTGTAGACCAGGCTGGCCTTGAACTCAAGAGATCCACCTGGCTCTGCCTCCTGAGTGCTGGGATTAAAGGTGTGTGCCACCGTCGCCCGGCTCCCGTTATTTTCTTAATGCTGTCTTTTGAGCTCCCTCTGAGCCCAGATAGTAACTATACCTACTTAATTGACACAGACAGGGGACTAGTTTTCAGTTCATTTGCCTATGAGAAATTACTGGGGAATCAATTTAACTTTTCTAAAGACTAGACTTGCACCTCAATCAAAGACTGTTTAAGCTTCTGGGTGGCCTGCTAGAGGGAAACAGAGGGCCTTTCACAAGCAAAGATATGTGGGTCCAGAGCAGCTCCTGCCGCTTTGATAGCAGTTAAATGGAATCTGTACACCTGTTTTGGGAGATTTAACATCTAACATGAACATAAATTTCTCCTGCATTGTTAGATGTCCTCCTTTCCTTCTGTCACCCTAGTTTTGTAATTTTCAGTGTTACAAGTCTTACATTTCCTTTATTAAATTTATCCTTAAGTATTCTATTATTTGTGGAGCTGTTATGAATGGAATTGTTTCCTAAACTTTATTTCCAGACTGTTCATTGCTAGTATATAAAATTACAATTGATTTTTTTTGTATATTGATTTTTGTATCCCGTGACCTCATGAACTCGTTCATTATTTCAAACAGCTTCCCTCTCATACACATGCACACTTAGGATTTTCTGCATGAAAGTGTGAGATTTCTTGCACACATGTGCTTGTATATTAAAATTTAGAGCATCCTAATTTTAAATTAAACAATGAGAATATATTCAAGGTCATTCCTATAACAGGCTATAAATGCCTAATGGGAAGAGTCTTCTGAGCCAACTTGGGTATATCATCACTTAGGAGAGTGGACAACATTTGTTTCACCTGCCTATGATAGACAACCAAAAACCAAGTTCACTGAAAACTTTGAGACATTCCTAAGCATGGAGAGCTGCAAAAAAATACCTGTGGACATTCTAGCTCCTGTGGCCTACATAGTCTGAGGCAAAAGCCTCACAGAAAAGATGAGCCATGCAGGGTCCCCAAATGTGTCTGGAAGTTGATAGGTAGTGACAATGCTCAGCTGGCAATCTCAGCTGTCCTCCAGGGAAATTGGAAGCATTGGGGCTTTATGGAGATGATAAGACATGGCATCAGTTTCTCTGCTTCAAATCAGACTTCTTTTCCTAAGTTCATTCTCTCTCTCTCTCTCTCTCTCTCTCTCTCTCTCTCTCTCTCTCTCTCTCTCTCTCATTCTTTCTTTGATAACAAGTTTGCACTATATAGCCCAGGCTAGCCTCAAACGTCTATCCTCCTCCTTCAGCCTCCTACATGCTGAGATTAAAAGCATGTGATACCATACCCACCTCATTTTATATCCAACAACTTCCTGTTGATGCAGGAAACAAGCACTAGTCCTCATTGATGTGGTCTCTGCCCAGTAGTGTCTAAGGCCTGTGGATGCTGCCTCCAGGAACACTGCATTGACTGAATGAACATTCTAGACTCAAGTTACCCCTTTGAAGCTTGAGTCATCTCACACCTCCGAGCCTCCGTTCTTTCCTCCACACATCAGGAGCATAATAACACTCCTGCCCCCACATGCGCACGTAGGGTTGCATCAGGGATAAAAGAAATATGTTCTATAATATCCCCAGAGAAGCCAAAATGCTAACCAAGTAGTAACAGAAATACTTTGATCCACTGTCTCCATGCTATGATGTCTGAAGCGTGGCCTAGGCATTCATATTTAGAGGCTAAATTTAGGTCCAATTTTCACAGATATTGTTCTCCCAAAAGGTATTTTAGGTTGTAACAATATAGGTTCTATTTTTATAGAATACTTTAATGTCATTTTCACGTGTATGAAAAGAGCTTGGCTTTTTTCTTTCTTTCCTGTGTGGGTCCCTGTACCAAAAAAGTGTTGTTTATTATGGCTCTAATTCGTTTCTTTGCTTCCATCTGACACTCTGATTCCCTGCTTCCCATGCTGCCAGCCTGTTCTTGTGCACAGATAAACCTGAGCTTGACTCCTCTTTTTCCCTAGTGACCTATAACGAATCAGTCAAGTCTTCTGGACTCCTTGGTATCACTCAAATCCACCCATTTCTCCCCACCCCACCTGACATGCCTCCATTTTAATCACTGTCATTTCTCGCCCCAA